CGCCCTCCACCCGCGTGGCTTCTTCGCAGCAGGGCCCCTGCACGCTCCTGCGCAGCAGCCGGCCGGCGCCCTGGACGGCTGCCAGGGAGGGGCCGATCGTGCTCGCCGGGCGCCACAGCACCCCACCCGCCCGCCACCTGCCACCTGCCCCTGCCCACCACCTGCCCGCCACCTGCCACCTGCCCCTGCCCGCAGCCTGACCAGCCGCACAGCCATGGACCCAATCGTGTCAGCGGTCACCCACCGCAAGCTGCACCCGCCGCCGCCGCCGCACGGCTACCTGGGCTACGGGCCGCCGCCGCGGCACGCACCGCATGAGCGCGCAGGCAGCCGGCTGGCCGCGTCTGCGGCGGCGGCGGGCGGCGGCGGCGGCGCGGGCGACGACACGGCGGCCACCCCCGGCGGCCTGTCCGCCCGCCCCTCGCAGCAGTCACTGCCGGGGCTGGCGAGCACGGCCGGGCCGGGCGGCGTGGCAGGCGCTGCAGGCGCGGCCCAGGCCGCGCTGCAGCACCAGACTGCGGAGCGGCGGCGGCTGGATTTGGATGCCCTGGGCTCTCCAGCCAACGTGCTCACCTCAGCAGGCATGCGCCGCCAGCAGCAGCTGGCGGTCAGCAGCAGCGGGGGCGAGGAGGAGGAGGAGGCGAGCGAGGGGGTGGCGGGCGGCAGGCGCGCGCGGTACGGCGGCGGCGCCGGCGGCGATGACGAGCCCAGCAGCGCGCCGCCGTCCTCGGGCCTGGCAGCCGGCGACAGCCTGGCGGGGGGGCAGGGCGCCGGGTCGGCCATCAACCTGGCGTATGCTGCTTCGGTTGACCTCATCAATGCCCCCATCCAAGAGATAGAGCCTGAGCAGGCGGAGCTGCTGTGAGGTGGAAAGCTCGAGGCCTGATGAGCTGGCGTGGCCTGGCATGGAAGCAGCATGCCGCCTGCCTCTGCCACCCGTTTCATTTGTTGTGCCATTCTCATTCCCCTATGGAGAAACCAAGTGTTATTCAACTCCAAGGCCAGCGCTCGAGCCTTGAGCCAGGGGGCAGACCTCTGCCATCGGTTTCCAGTGCCAGCAGCCGCCTGGTCAGCCCTGCATCGCTTCTGCCTGCCTGCTTCGTTGTGCCTTTGCAGACTGCGTTTGTGTGTGACAGCGCATTCCAGGTGGGGCCGGGCGCACGGCCCAAGAGCTGCAGTGAGGGAATGCCAGGTGCGGCGGAACAGTGTGGGGTCATTGCATCATGCGGCATGCGGCAGGAGCACTCAGCGGCCGCACGGCTCAGCGTCAAAGGGTGAGCAAAGGGGGAGGGAGGGTTGTGGAGGATGTAGCACGAGGGAGGGAGAGGGTGCAGCAGGCAGAGTCGGTCAGGAGATAAATCTCGAGCAATCGTGAGTGACCAGCGATGAGAGAGGGGAGAGCATAGTCGGTGCCGAGGGATCAAGGGGGGAAGGCCAGCCAGGGGGCTCATTTGGTGGAGGCAAGCGGCAGGGGAGGGCTGCCACGTCACGCCTCGTCGCCGCCGCGTCAGGCCTTGATGAGGTTGGCGCGCGCCTGGTAGGCGGCCACGTGCCGCAGTGCCGTCGCCCTGTCGCAGTAGCGCAGGTGGCACCTGCACAGACGGCGCATGTGTGCGCATGCTTGCTGAGGGCGCCACCAGCCAGCCAGATCCCGGGGCAGGCATTCCCCTTGGCCATGCCAACCGCCGTGCCATGCCGAAGCACACACAGCCAGCCAGGCCCCACCCCGCTGCGCCCCGCATGCCTCCTTCTCCCGTTGCCTCCTTCTGCCTCACCTGCCCGCCACCTCCTCAAACACCTCCAGCGCATAGTCCAGGTCTGCCTTGGTGTGGGAAGCGGAGATGCAGACCCGCATGCGCGCCGTCAGCAGCGGGGTGGCCGGGAAGCCCACCACCACGATGGCCAGCCCGCGGCGCAGCATGTATCGGGAGATGGCGGGGAGCTTGGCGGGGTTGAACAGCATGATGGGCTGCGGGCGGGTGGGGGTGGGGGCAGGAGGGCGGCGGTGTGTGTGTGTGGTGGCGCACAGAGATGCGCGGCGGGCGGGCAGGGCGCTGCAGGCGCACCCGAGCCGCTCCAGGGCCCGCGGCACGCCTCCTCACTACCCCACACCCCACACCCCACACCCTCACACACGCCCCAGCCCCAGCCCTCACCATCACGGGAGAGTCCCAGTCTCCCAGCACGTTGTACCCCAGCTCCAGCAGGCGGCGGCGGAAGTAGTTGGCGTTGGCGCGCAGCTGCCCGATCTTGGCGGCACCGCGCCCAGACCCGTCCCGCCCCGAAATCACGTGGAAGGCTGAGATGACCATCTCCACGGCCTGGCAGGGGAGCGCGGGGCGGCAGGGGTGGCAGGGGTGAAAAGGGGTGGGTGCCAGCGGTGGCTGACGGGGGCGCATGGGGCGCCAGGCGCCGCTTGGGGTGTGTTGCGAGGCGGGGCGGGCGGGCCACGGGGCTGACAGGGGCTGTGGCAGCCAGGACGGGGGCAGGGCCAGCGCCAACCCGTCCCTGCCACCACCTGTGCTCCTGCCATGCCAGACCCCACACCTCTCTCCTTCTCGCTCTCTCTCTCTCTCTCACACACACACACACCACCATCACCACCACCACCGCCGTCACCACTCACCGGCGGCGACATGGCGGTGGCGTACAGGTGGGCGGGGCACTGGCAGCGCAGGAACTGCACCAGCTCCGCGCTGCCCGCGATGTAGCCACCGCAGGAGCCAAAGGACTTGGTGAAGGTGCCCATCATGACGTCGATGTCGGCCGTGTCGACGCCCAGCTGCTCGCACACGCCGCGGCCGCCGGGGCCCAGCGCGCCGATGGAGTGCGCCTCGTCCAGATAGAGGTAGGCCTGTGGGTGTGTGGGTGTGTGTGCGGGAAGGGGTGGGTGGGGTCAGGACTGGGCTGGGCTCAGGTCGGGTCGGGGGTTGAGCGTGGGCACAAGGGAGGGAGGACAGCGGGACGGGAGCGCGGAGCGACATGGCGGCAGCGCGTGGCGGCGCCTCGCGGAGCGGCACTCCCGGGCGCCGCCTGCCGCGCCGCCGGCGCGCCACCCAGCCGCCTCCCCGCTGCGCCGGGCAGCCCGCGTGCCGACGCACGCGCCGACACGCCACCCCTGCCGTGCCGCCGCCCGTACCGCCCCGTACCGCCTTCCGTACCACCTCCCGTACCTTGTACTTCTTCTTGATCTCCACAATCTCCCGCAGCCGCGCCATCTCCCCCTCCATCGAGTAGATGCCCTCGATGATCACCACCTGGCAGGCAGGCAGGCAGGCAGGCAGGCGCAGGGCAGGGCAGAGAGGCAGGGGGGCTGGTGAGTACAGGTGTGCGGGGCACAGGGATGGAAGGATGGCTGGCTGGCTAGCTGGCCGTCTGGCTGGCTGGAACCCCGCTGCCAGCCAGCCCCCGCGGCCAGCCAGCCCCCCACACCCCGCATGCCGCCGCCGCCGCCGCTCACAATCTTCTTCCAGGCGCGCCCCGTGCGGGGCTGCCCCTCTGCGATGGCGGCCCGCAGCACGGCCTCCAGGTGGGCGGGCTCGTTGTGGTCAAACACCTTGACCTTGGCGCCTGCGGTACGGGGACGCGGTACAGGTCATACATGCGGTACGGCCAGCAGGTACGGTCAGCGGCGACGCCAGCAGCGTGGGCTGGGCGCACCAGCAGAACGCGCGCAGCAGAGCGGGATGGGGGCGCGCGCCGCGGGCAGCGCGCGCCCTGCATCACCGCACGGCCCCACACGGCCGCGCCCGCCGCCAGACTTCCGACGCGCTGCTGCTGCTGCTACTACTGCTGCTGCTGTTTCCTGCGTGCGCGAGACCCTCCCTTGCTCACCCGAGCCGCGCACCCCTGCCACGATGGAGGAGTGGTTGAGCGCGTCGCTAACCACCAGCGTACCCCTGCCCGCCAGCAGCGGGATGAAGGCGGAGTTGGTGGCAAAGCCCATGCCGCACGTGATGGCCGCCTCCTTGCCCTGCAGCGGCTCAGGCGGTGGCACGCAGGTCGGCACCGGGGAGAGGCAGGATGCGGCGCCGGGAGGGGGCGGGCTGGGCGGTGGTGTGTGCCGGCCGCCCAGAACTCGCCACCACCCACGAAACACCAACACACACGCAGAAGCGCCCCAAGAGACACACATAGACACACACACACACACGCACGCACGCGCCCAGCCACCCACCAGGAACTCGGCCACCAGCCGCTCCAGCTCCGCGTGGCGCGGCGTGGTGCCGCCGTCGGAGCGCGGCGCCGAGGCGGCCCAGCCCAGGCTGTCCAGCACGGCCTCCACCCGCGGGGTGCAGTACTCGTCCTGGGCTGCAGCAGGGGCAGCGCACGAGACGGGCAGAGGGGAGGGCGATTGGGGTGGCGAGGGACAGCGGGCAGAGAGCTGAGGGGGAGACGGACAGGAGCTGGGTGGCGGAGGAAGCAAGGGGCGAGCCGAGAGACGCTTCTAGCCGCACCTGCAAAGCCCAGGTAGTTGTAGGAGCCCAGGTTGAGGCAGCGCTGCGAGGAGCCCGTCAGCCGCAGCGGCCTGCGGGCAGGCGGCAGGGTGGGTTGCGGTCAGGTATGGGTTAGGGTGACAGGGTGGGGCCCTGGGGCTTGCACGCACGCGCCGCACATCCGTGCCGCGCCCTGCACCGCCTGCGCAGCCCCTCACGGGACCCCGCCAGCGTGCGCAGCCGCTCACTTCTGGCCGTCCACCGGCGTGCGCCGCATGACGTCGATCCAGGCGTCTGGCGCGGAGCAGATGGGGCGGTTGAAGGTGTCGTGGATGCGGTAATACATGCGGCGAGTGTAAAAGTCCTGAGAGGGCGCAGGCAGAGGTGGGTAGGTGGGCAGACAGGCAGGGGAGGAGAGGGGGGTGGGTGCACGTGCGGTGCTGTGCCTGCAATGGCACCCGGTGGTGCCGGCTGCTGCCACAGGAAATGGCCCGCGGCGCCCCTTCTGCTGCTGCTCGCCGCCCTCTGCCCCGAGCTGCCTCTGATGCAACCTGCAGCTGCGGCTGCCCGCCTGCGCCCCCACAAACCCACAATACACATGCTGGCCCACCACCCAACCACCCACAAGCGCACTCACCTCATAGTCCTGGCGAATGGGAGCATACCCCTCCTTCTGCTTGGCGGCGCTGCGCCCGCCCCAGATTTTCTTGCGGTAAAAGTCGCGCATGTGGCCAAAGAGGAACAGCACCAGCCACCTGCTCTCACGGGTGGGCAGGGGTGCCGCACACGCTCAGCCGGAGTGCGACAGACAGCAGCGGCGGCGGCGGCGGCCGGCAGGTGGGGAGGAGGAGAGGCGGCGGCTGCAGCAACGTGCGGTGCCTGACAGCAGCGCAGGCGGGCAGGGACGGGGCAGCACGCGACTCACGAGGCATAGGAGGCGAGCGCCACGAACAGCGGCGGTGTGAGGGTGCCGGTGCCCGCCATGGCTGCCGCCGCTGCTGCCGCCTGCTACGGGCCACGCGCCTGCTGGCAGGTGGCAAGGGAGCTTGCCTCAGCAGGCGCACCGCAGGAACTTGCATGTGGTGCGGGCGGCGGCGGGGCGGGCGGCAGGGCGACGGCAGCATTGCACCGGCACACTGCAGCTTGGCAGTTGGCGCGCCACCACCCAGCACTCCCAGCACTAACTCCCAGCACTAACCTGCCAGGCTACGGGGCAGGGGGCTGGCCGGCGCTGCTGGGAGCTGGAGAACGGCAACAAGACTGTAGGCCCTGCTGCTGAAGCAGGCTGATTGGGGCGCTGTGCCACCTGGGCGGCTGGATGCCGGCCAACAGTCGATGGAAGGCTGGGGGCGAAGCCCTTGCTGGAGTTTGAAGGCAGCGAAGCAACGCAGGGGAGGCGCGCCCTCCTTTGCTGGTGGCCAGATTGGACCAGGAACGTGTTGCTGAGCGCAATTTTGCTAATGCGTGCCTGATCGCGTGAGCCTCACCTGCCAGCCATTGCCCAGCATACAAAGCAGCGGCCAACATTTCGGTCGAGCAACCCAGGAGCGCAATCACGGATCCCATCTACACATAACAATCGTTGGTGGTATGGTACTGCCGTGTTCGGAGCCAAAATGACGCGAGTTGTCTTGCTGTAGGCTCGCTGGCGGCGCTCCCATGCTCAGGGAGGCATGGGGAAGAAGCATCAGGCCGCATCCAAGAAGTCCAAGCACGCCGAAAAGGGGGCCGCGGCAGCGGCGGGCAGCAGCGGGGATGCCAAAGAGGAGCGGCAGAAGGGCGGCAAGCAGGTGACACACAGCTATCTGCCTGCTGCTGCACCTGCGCCAAGCCTATGCCATGATGCTGCTGGACCACCATGTGGCTCCCCACACTTCCAGCAATGCTGCTCCCATGCATGTGCGGCTGCAGCAGCGGCGGCGCAACAAGGAGCACCGCTGGGCGGTTGACGACTTGGAGCGCGAGCTGGCGGCTGTGGGCCTGCGCATCAAGAGCATCGAGCCCGACGGCAACTGCTTCTTCCGGGCCGTGCTGGACCAAACAGAGGTCGGCAGCCAGCTGCCTGCGGCCCGTACGCAGCGCCACATGTGAACCGGGCCACAGCCAGCCAGCAGTTCAGACTGGCGGCGCCTGGCAGCTCGCCTCGTCACGCCGACAGTCCAGCCTGCTGTGTTGTGCAGGGCGAGGGCGGGGACCACCTGGGGCTGCGGCGGCGGGTCATGGACCACATCGAGCAGCAGCAGGAGCACTACCGGCTGTTCATGTGCGCTGGGCTGGAGGCTGCCTGGAGAAGGCAGTGTGTTGCGTGCGAGCCGAGCAGGGTGGTGCGTTGGTTGGTAGGGGTGTGCATGTGGCAGGCTGGATCTTAGATCCAGGATCTTGTGGCCCTGCGGGCGAGCGCCTCCCGCTCCAGAACATTTAGCCAGCTGTCGCTGTGTCTGCCTGGGCCGCCTGCAGCGAGGACGATGAGCCCTTTGAGCGATACGTCAGCCGCATGCGCAAGGAGGGTGTGTGGGCCGGTGCGGTGCCGCCCTCGCCGCCCGCCTGCCCGGTGCTTGTGGGACATGCCGGCCTCGTCAGACTTGCGCTGCGCCAGCCGCTGTGGCACACAGGAGCTGGGACCGGCAGCTGCGCTCCCGACAGTTGGTCCATGTTGCGCCCTGCATTTGACTGCCTGCACCACCACCTTACTGCAGGCAACCTGGAGCTGGTGGCCGCATCCACGCTGCTGCAGGTGCTGCAGCGCTGCTGGCGGGGGGCAGCGCCTGCAGGCGGGGCTGGTGGCAGCAGGGCTGCTCGGGGCCGTGCACCAAGGCTGGCTGCAGCTGCTGGCGCACCCCTTGGGCCAGCCAGCTCACCAGCCCTTGGGCCAACCAGCTCACCAACAGCTGAGGTGGCTTGGCGCCGATGTGGGCGTGCCTGCCTGTGCCCTCCCTTCCCTGCAGCGCAACATCAACGTCTACCAGGCTGGGCAGCCGGTGTGGCACATCAAGTTTGCAGCGGTGAGCTGGGGCTGCTCTTCTGCAGGCGGGGCAACCTGCCAACCAACACGCCCGCGCTTGCTGGCCGCGTGCGCAATGCCGCGCCTGCCTGCCTCGCCGCCTGCCTGCCGCAGGATGCGCCTGTGCTTCACCTGAGCTACCATGACGGTATGCACTACAACAGCGTGAGGAATGCGGGCGACTATGGCAGCGGCCCGCCCCAGCCGCTTCGCCTGGGCGGCGGCGGCAGCGGTGCGGCCGGCCCTGCAGCGGTGGCGCAGGCAGGCCGTTCCTTTGGCAGCGCAGAGGTGGAGCGGGTGGTTGCCGGCACGGGGTGCGGCGACCGCGAGCGGGTGGCACGTGTGCTGGAGCGGTGCGGCGGCGATGTGGATGGGGCCACAGAGCTGCTGATTGAGCAGCTGGGCCAGGAGGAGCAGGAGCCTGCAGCAGACGGCGAGCGTGCAGGCGCTGCGGGGGCTTCGGGGGAGCAGCAGCAGCGACATCAGGAGGTGCCGTCGCAGCCTCCACCTCAGAAGCAGCGGGCTGCAGACAGCGGCATCAGCGACGGCACGGCCGTGGCAGGCCAGCAAGCAGCTGGGGTAGAGCAGCAGCAGGTGCCCGCGGAGCAGCGGGCCCTGGGGAGCGGCGACGAGTGTATGCGATTAGAGCTGCTGCCGTGCCAGAGCGACCCTGAACGCATCACGGCTGCACTGCACGCAAGGCCATCAGACCATAAGCACCACCAGCAGCAGCAAGGACCTTGCCAGCAGCAGCAGGATGCTGACCAGGCAGGCGAGACGAGGCCAGCCGAGGCGCAGCGGGCGGGAAGCAAGCGAGCGGGTGGCAAGAGGGGCGGCGTCAAGGTTAAGGAGTCCAAGGTGGTGGCTGGGCGGAACAGGCGATGCCCCTGCGGTTCTACGCGGAAGTACAAGAACTGTTGTGGCGGTCTGCGGGCGGCCAGCGCCGGCGGCACCGACGGTGGCGCCGATGGCGACACCAGCGAAGCGGCCAAGCAGCTGCAGTTCTTGCACATCTGAGCTCGCCACCGATCCATGTCTCCTATTTGCGCCATGTAACGGGATGCATGCCAGCACAACGCGATGCGGCCACTACAGTGGTTGGTGGCGGCGGCAGGGAGCTAGGCACAGCGGGCGAAGCACATAGGGCAGAGTTTGAGCAAGGATTTGAACAGAATGCGGCCTCCCGGCAATCGTCCCCCGCTCTCCTCCAGCCCCGACCGCCCTTTGGATCCCTTCCTGGAGTTCACAGGATCGCAAGGCGGCCGATGGCAAAGGCCCGCTTCAGCACGGACACCCCCACCTCGGTGGCGGGGCTAGCGGAGGTCTGGGCCTCTGTAGACGCGTGCATGGGCCGTGGAAACCCGTCAGGAGCAGTGTTTCAGATGATGCAGACGACGAGAGCGGCCCCAGAGCTGGGCCTGGCCGGCGCCGACGCCGGTGAGTATTTGAGTGGCCAGCCCCTCTCATTCGACTGCCCAAGGCCGCTTCATCGACGGGGAAGCATCTGCAGGAGCGATGGCGTCCCCTGAATCCCGGCATGTGTCCTGCTAACCCTCTCCCTGGCGCCGCCTGGCTTGTTGCAGCGGCCGCATGGGCGTCGAGTGGCGGCGCTGCCATCTGTGCTGCTGCCTCTGAGTTCCCAAGGGTGAGCCTGGCCTTGGGTTTGGCAATCTGGCTCGCATTTCGAGACACGGCGCAGACCCCAGCAGCGCCGCAAGCCGCCGCTGAGCCTGCCCCCGCCGCTCCACCCCTTCCCGCTTGCAGGTGCTGTTTGAAAAGTGGTGTGCTGTGCTGCAGCAAGTGGGCACGTGGCTGCCCTACAAGGCTGAGAACTGGCAGACGGTGATGGGAGGTGCGCAGGGCTGCGGCCGCCACCTCTTGAATAGCGGCTGCCGCCAGGAAAACCGCCGTCTCGCTCGCCCCCTCCTCCTGCCCTCACCCCACCCCATCCCATGCCTGCCTGCCTGCCTGCCGCAGTGCTGACTGACAGCCGGCAGAAGCTGGAGGCTGCGGGGCTCGACTGTGGCAACAGCGCCGAGCACGTGCAGCAGATGGTGATGGCACACCTGGCAGAGTGCAGCATCCGGGAGGGTGCCGGGCGGGCACCTCGAGCCCAGGCACGGCGGCAGCAGCAACAACAGCAGCAGCAGCAGCAGCAGCAGCAGCCGGCCGTTGCGGGCGGCTCCGCAGTGGGGGCATCCCCGTCCCGTGGCAGGCGGCGGGCGGCGTTGGCGGCGCAGGCAGCCATCATGGCGGCAGCAGAGGAGGGCGGCGGCGGCGAGGAGGCGGAGCAGCAGGAGGCGGAGGATCAAGAGAACATGCAGCCGCGGCGCTGGGCCGGCAAGGCGGCTGCCGGAGCAGACGCCCAGCAGGCGCTGCAGCCGCTGGGACCCAGCGGCGGCACCAAGCGGCAGCGCCATTAGCGCGCTGGCTTCCATCTCACACGCTCATATTGTTTGTTGGAAACACTTTGCATTCCCCCTTGTGTACTGGCCAGTGCCTTACATCCCATAGAGGAGAGAAAGGTTGAGAGAGGGCGCAATGAAAGCGACACTGCTGACGTTTGTGGCACGAGGGCACGGGGACGAGGGACTGGGGGCACGCAGACCAAGGCGAGAAAAATTCGGCTGCAATGGGGCTCGGCTGTTGCGGGTGGTGTGGGGTCGGTGCTGTGCGAAAACACAAAGAAGGAAGTGCAGGCTGAACAGGAGTTGTAGTGTTGGAACAAGAGGGCAGGACGGGAAAAAGGCGGGGGGGAGGGCATGCCCGGTGGTCGAGTGGTGCAAAGGGGAAGGAGACTACAGTGCGGAGGAGCGGGGAGAGGGCTGCCCGGCCCCCTCCCTGGCGCGGGAGGGGGCTCTGCCCTGGAGCAGCAGCGCCAGGCCTGCCAGCAGCGCAGGCAGCAGGCGCGGGGGTTGGGGGGGTGGCAAGTATGCATACAGCGGCGGCTGGCTGCGGGCGCGGGGCGGCTGGCTGGGGCTGCGCCCAGGTGCAACCGGGCAACGCGGCGGCGAGGCGAGGGGCGGTGGGTATAGCAAAGGGACCGAAAGAAGACGGCGAAAATGAGGTCAATAAGGGACACGTCCAAAGCGGGGCACATGGAGGGGGAGGGTCATGGGTTAAGGGGACCATCTTTGCGGTGGCCAGGGCGGCGCGGCGCCGCCCCGCCGGGGCATCGATCCGGCTCCACAACAAACCAGGTCAGAACAATCCCCGCACAGACCAAGAGGGGTGGGTACAAGCTCCGCGGGCCGGGGCGGCCGTTCTGAGGGCCCGGCAGGGCAAAGGTCAAGGGAGGGTGTACGGGTATAAGGAAGGGGGGTAGGGCGGTCGGTCGGGGGCCGGCCCAGGCGGCGGCGAGGCGGGCTGCCGGCCCGCGCCTGCTCAGACGCGGGCTGGCTCAGAAGCGGGGGCAGGACATGAGCGGTACCGCCTTGGTGGGCTGCGCCTGCTTCCAGACGCCGTCCCGCAGCTTGCGGGCCACCTGGTACCGCACGGCGCACATGAACCGCTCCCACTGCTCCTCGCTGAGGTCGCGGAAGACGGCGAGGGCGGACATGGAGGGGGCGCCGCCGGCGCGCGCCTCCACCAGCGGCGGGTAATTCTGCAGGGGGACGGGCAGGGGGAGAACAAGGGCGCGGGTGTCAGGCAGGGACGGACTCGGTGTAGGTGTTGGGGAGGGAGAGGTTGCAGAGGCTGGGGCTGGGAGCGCCGCCGTGCGCTGGGCAGCTGCTGGCGAGGAGGCCACCTCGGCACCCTGCCGGCCGGCCTGGCCTGCTGGTTGGCTGCAGCACGCGCGGAGCAAGCACAGGGGAGCAGGGCAGGGCAGGTGTGTGGCGCCCACCTGCGTGGTCAGCTTGAGCAGGCGGCTGCCGATGGCCAGCTTGCGGCGGCTGCGCGTCTTGCGCGCGGCGCGGCGCTGGCCGGCGCCGGCGCCGGAGCCGGAGCCGCCCGCGGAGCCGGCGCGGCAGGCGGAGCGGGAGGGGGCAAAGGAGGAGGCGCGGCAGAAGGTGGAGGCGGCGGCGCCCGACATGGCGCACGTCTCGCCACCGCTCATCGCCTCGCTGGCGCCCGAGCCGTGCAGGGTGAGGGAGTCGAAGGAGGCGGGCAGGGAGTCCTCGGCGCCGGCGCTCAAGGGGGACACAAAGCTGACGGCCAGGCCGGCGGCCTTGGGGGTGACGGGCGGCGCCGCCGACGCCTTGCCCGCCTCGGCCGCAAAGCGTGAGGGGGGCAGGCGGGCGGACAGGCCGTCGGGGGAGCGTGCGCGGGGAGGGGTGCGGCTGCCGCCGTCCTCGTCCATGCTGCAAGGGGGTGGAGGGGAGGAGAGGAGGGGCCAGGGGAGCAGGTGAGCACGGGGCGGGCACAGGGCAGGCAGGCACACACAGCCCTCACGCCAGCGGGCCCAAGCTCCGCCAAGGCCGACGAGAGCTCTGCAGTCAGGCTGCCAGTCAGGCAGCAGCGCCCCGCAATAACGCCTGCACGCTGCGCGTCGCTGCCAGCCAGCTGGGGCAGGCTGCGCACATGCAGCACCACCACGCACCACTGCCACC